CAGCCGAAAAACAAAAGTTTTTAGCTGGAAAACAAAAAGGAGAAATCTTTTACGTATAAGTCGATTACGGGTCGGGTACGGGTCGGGTACGGGTACACAGTTCTCGGGTCGGGTCGGGTACGGGTACGAAAATGGTACCCGTGCACATCTCTAGTCCCAAAGAACCAGTGCTCATCCAATATTCCGCCAATTTCTCAGATTAAAATTAAAGTAAATTAAAACTAGAAAGGGTCCATCTCCACTTCTTATACTAGTTTGAAGTACAGACGTTGTACTATTTTCATTCTGATGGCGTTATATATATACATATAGCAATACAGACAAGTTGCAACCACGTTTAGTACATTTGTACACGTGGCAAAATTGGTTTTGTCATGCGTACCTTAAATGAAGAGAATAATTTAACTCAAATAAAATATTCTGTTGAAAATCTGATAGTAAATAACCAAAATGTAAATGAGAATATTGAGGATGAAATTAATGGTGAATTTCATCATACCCATCAACAATAACGGAATATGAGATACTATGAGCGAAAACGTCGGCAAAATGATTTTTCTGAACAAATTACAGAGGGCACACCAAAACGTAACAAAGTACATCAATTTGATGACAATCAGAGAATTTCAAATGATCTGAATGTGAATCGAAGTCAAAATCAAGACCCAAATGAAGATATGGTTAACAAGCGTAATAATAACCCTACAGCAGCGTACTTTAATATAAAACGTGCATCCGTAAATTCAAAATTTACGGAAACGTCACGTCAACGACAAAAACGTGAGTCTTTTCCACCATTTAGGATTCGATTTAAAGATAATTAATATCCAACAGAATTAGCAATCATCAAAGCGATAAATCGGCAGTGTAATATAAATTTGACATATGGTCGCTACTCAACGTATAACAATAAAAAGAGTTATTTCCTCTATGCAAATTCGTCAAGTCAATTCGATTCGTTAAAAGATCTAAGTAAATGGCCACAAAAATTATGTGACCTTGAATCCGAAATAGACATGCCCAATAAGACTCCAACGTGCTATTCTATCGTGGTATTAAATGTACCACCGCAATGGGATGTCTATCAGCTTGAAAACGATTTCAAATGCAATATTCAACTGTAGTTAAAGTTGAGCGGTTATTCATTAGTGGTGGAAAACCAATATCAAACGTACGTGTCGATTTTTCGGATAGTCGGGAGGTAGCTGGCTAATTGAAAGTCATACGATTAGAATATGATATAGTCAAAGGATATGGAGACGAATGGGTGAATAGCTGATAGAAAGCAGAAGATCAAGATATGAAACTGCAGTACAAGCACCGTAGCGAAATGGCGTTTTCGCATCGTGAGGATGAGACGCCGCATAAGGTGATTTAACTCGCGGAATAACTTTAAGCTAATTGGAAGCTAAAATGGAAAAGAAATTTTCAACATTAGCTCAAAAATTAGACAAATATTTTCAAGAAGTGAATGTTATTAAAGAACGCCTTAACAATTGCATAGGTCCTCTCGCTTGTGTGATAACAGATTATGTCTATAAACAGGCGAAACATACGAATGTTAAACAATTATTGCAACAACCATATAGAAAATGAAAAGTGATAAGATCAAAAGAGGAGAAGACTGAAAGCGGTACATTTGATCTCTATAGTTGAATTATATTTTCTTATTTTATTTCTCTTCTTTTTATCGCCTAGAATTGCCATTTGATAGAACTTCTGTTCTGTAACTAAGCAACAGAAGAGGACTACAGTTACTCAGAAAACCTAGAAAACTCGGCAAACATGTTCTAAAACAGCTTTAAATCATGAATAATCCGGACAGACGTTGTCGTTTCTTTGAAACAATCACTTTTGTTCAACAGCGCTATGTTCAACGAGAATAAATGCTACTCACTTAGCGCCTTCTATAAAAGTAATTATCTTCGCAACCGTTGAGACGTCATTGATGAAACTTTCGAGAGCTGTCCAAGCCTGAAAGTTATTCCGCGAGTTAAATCACCTTATGCGGCGTCTCATCCTCACGATGCGAAAACGCCATTTCGCTACGGTGCTTGTACTGCAGTTTCATATCTTGATCTTCTGCTTTCTATCAGCTATTCACCCATTCGTCTCCATATCCTTTGACTATATCATATTCTAATCGTATGACTTTCTCATCTTCTGACTTTCTGAGTTTGACTTATTCAACAAGAGATAGAGAAGTTGACTTATTCAACAAATCAATACCATCAAATCCATTTATGACAATCGCATGGCTCCAATCAGACTTATTAGTTGTCAAATCACAAAAGCACATCTCATTTAATGTCCCTTTTCCATCATGATTCATCAAACAAATCGATCTCTTCTTTAGCGTACATAGAAGCTCCGGGATCGTTAGAAACTGATCCACATGCAGTTCTCTTCTCTGATTTTTCTTCAAATCTACATCACTCCGTAACTCACTCTCTTCAACGATGTCGACCGGTGAAATCAACTTCGACAATTTGTCTGTTCAATTTGACAGAATTCGAATATACTTCGATTTTCCGACTTCTGCAAAACAAAACTCATATGAACAGCAATAGCTGGCCATTTTTCGACCCAAAATTTTCGTTTTTCAAACTTCGAAAAAACACACTGTAAGATACATCTCCAAAAAATAACTTTCTCTCAAAAGTATTCTCCAAAATAAAACGCTTTTGTATCCACGCGACCATTTTTAGGTTAAGTGCCACAAAACTTTTACCAACTATAGAGCTTACCACTTTTGGCCATCAATATCAGAAACAAATTTGTAGTACGGTAACCATTATCACTATAAAATTTGGTTTCACTCCCATAATAACTGATCAAACACAATAAACACGTTAATAAAGTTAAACCATTCAAATCTTCTTCGTGGCCTTTCAGAAAATGCAATAAAACACAATCATCACTAATATAATCAGTTAACTCGATTTCCCTAGCGAAATCCAGTGCACGACCACAGTTACGTAAATGCAATCTGTTCGCCAACTCTAAGGAAAAACTGCTGGATTTTTTCATCTGAAATCACTTAAAATTAGACACACATTGCAGTCTTCTACATATCGCTTAAATCTCAAGTGCTTTTACTTTAAATTCATTCAACAAAAATGATTGTAAAAAAGGGATAGAACAACGTTTGTTAATGTCAGATCGTTCGTACATACCGTTCGACCAAACCATAATAAGCAAAGGACAAAACAACGTATTAGAATTATAACCTTTTGTTAACGATATATATATGAAATTCTTAAAGTATAACAATTTTATTTGTTCTTTCTCCCTCAATAAAAAAATATACGGCCGAAAAACACTAGTCGAAACGAAACTAATGGACATATCCATACGCCATAAAATCATACAGTGAAAGAACACAAACAAAAATCATAATGTATCGATCATGTGCTACGCGCACGAGCCTTTAACAATAAGTTAGATGATACCTTCACGTACACATAATCAGAAAGTCAGAAGATCAGAAAATTACGCAACTCACTATGTATCCCCTGAACCTTCGAATATACTTCTAACAGTAAAATCACTCGCCGAATAAAGTCTGCACTTGGCCATCTATGAAACTTTCGGAAAATGTTTAAGTAATAGTCGTTATTCGTTACCCACTATTTCAGCTCAATCCGTCTGGAGAAAAAAAAGTCGACTTTTTCAGCTCTCTCATAATGTTTAGAAGACCTCCGACAAAATCTTACAAAAAGTAAGAGAGGGATTTTCTATTTATCTGTTCATGGTTCGCCATTCATTTTGAGTTCCACACTAGTCTTAAATCCCACAAGAACATGATATTTTCTTAATTCATTTTCTTAATTATTATTTATTTAATTTTCGAGTCATAAAAGTCACAAAAACAACAGTGAGAGAGAGTACAAAAAAATAAAACTCTTGAGTCTATGACTTTTCACGTGTTCTTTCGAAGGCGGCGGAGGAAGGGGCTGCTGCTGACCATTCCTAAATATAAACAAATGTAACTGGGTAAAGAAGGAAGAATGTACTTACAATTGTCCGTCAAATGTGCCAAACGAATATATCGGGGTTGCTGCTGATCATTCCTAAACATAAAAAGAGAAAAATAAATAGACGGAAAAAACAGAAGGATATACTTACGATCAACCATGAACCGTGTCCATCGAATAAGTTGGGTACTGTTGCACAGTTAACCCAAATAGCTACATGTATTTGTTTCCTACTAGTGCTCCATCCATACTAATACGAAAAGTCAGCTTATTCACTTTTAGTAGATCTTTTGCTGGATCTTGCTTTTTCAACACAGATTCAGCGACGTACAGTGCTGTTTTGACAGCGTATGAGAAATTAACATACGCACCATCATCGAATTCAGTAAATTTTATTGGAAACTTCATATTTATATTTCTTCTTAACTGCCGGATTTGATGTAAGGAAAAAAAAGCCTTGTACTTCCTTAAATATTTGCCCGCGACATCGATTGCTGCATCGGTCAGATTAAACGTATCTTCCATCAGTAAAAGTTTATTTTATTTTTCCTGCCGAGACGATCTCCAATATTGATTTCTTCTTACACAAGAATCCGATGAGTCACTGTCAACATACTGTATTTTTCGTTTAGCCTCTCTGGCTGATGTGCCACAATCGATCAGAACAAACGCTATTACATTCAACGTAATGTCTAGGCTCCTCACTCAGAGGCGCAGAAACCGAATAAAAAGCCTGATCTTGTAATAATGAGTAACGATGTTTTCTAATTGGATTTTTTCAAGAATATCGCCTTTGATTGATTCTTCAATCAAATTAATATCATGATTAATTTTTGACTCTCTCCAATAGCTCACGACATCAACATGTCCAACTTCACGGTCGTTACAATTCAAAAAATGCTCAATCGCTCTTGTTAGAAAAGAATTACTAACCGTTAGCACTCGAAGCATCTGTTTTAACATACCTTTTCTAGACTTTTTAGGCTGAAAAACTACAGTATCATAATCGTCTCGACTTTCATCACAACGTAGCAGGCGACGTCTATTCTTGTTTACAAAAAGCTGAAAACTTTTTAAAGAACTACGTTCAGCACGTTCAGTACCAAATGTTACACGAAACTTACATTTGTTAATCGGCTGTGGTATCTCATTAAGAGGGGAAATAGACTTCACATCAAAAACGAAACTATCCTCAGGCACCCCAGCAGCACGACAGGATACTATCCTGTCGTGCTGCTGGAGCGTACTTCCTCTTTCTTTTCGCAAACCTTATAATTCCAAAAATTTGTGTGAATTTCATGCATAAGTTCCTCACAGTCAACGTAGCCATTTAATTCTAAAAACTTATAAACGCATATTTAACGGACAATTGTAAGTTCCTTCTTTACCCAGTTACATTTGTTTATATTTAGGAATGGTCAGCAGCAGCCCCTTCCTCCGCCGCCTCCGAATGAATACGTACCACGTGAAGATTCATAGACTCAAGAGTTTTATTTTTTTGTACTCTCTCTCACTGTTGTTTTTGTGACTTTTATGACTCGAAAATTAAATAAATAATAATTAAGAAAATGAATTAAGAAAATGTCAACTTAGATTTATGATTTGATCCAAGTGAATATGGACCTAGTCTCCTCATTTACCATGCAAATAAGCAACTAAAGCAAATTTGTTATTATGGTTCACGGCGTTCATGTCGAACAATCAATATTGGTTGGTCAGACAGACTTCGTTATTGTCGTCATCTAGCAAATTAGTTGCAGAGAAACTTTGAATAATCTTTAAGAGTTAGTCCGATAAACGTCAGAAAATAATTAAATGTAATTATTGGGAGAGAGTGTTGAGAATCG